GCCTCTCGCCAAGGTGAGGGGCCTTCCCGCACGGGCGCGCAGGAGCTCAGGGCCTGCTGCGCTCTGCGCCTTGCTGTAGGTCAAACTCCAGCCTGTTGCTTGTCCTACGCTGGGCCTGGAATTTTTTGCCCTTGCAGAGGCCAGGGGCTGCCCTGCTCGAAATGTCTTTTCTGGCCTGCAGAACGTCTCGTTTTGCATGGAGCGGGCACAAGTCTCTTCTGCAGGAAGAGCTTTTTGCAAGAGCCAGTATGACCTTAGACTGCAGGAAGCCCAAGGACATATGCAGGCCGCTTGTGAAAGAGGATTCATTCATTTATGCTTCTCTAGATTTAAAAGTCTAGATTATGTCTGTGCATTTAACAACTTTTGGAATTCATTTTGATGGCTTTTCCTTTTTAATTTCAAACTGTATGTCGCTGCCTGCTGGTATGTTTGGCTTTTTTTTTGTTGCTATTTTGCTACATTTTCTGTCAAATCTTATGCATGTACAGGTTCATTGAACGATGTAGCTCTTCACAGTAATGTCCTCTGAAAACGGTGATATCAGATTGCATGGCAGTGTTTGCTTCTGTATGGTTTGTTGTATATCCAGCTATGTAAATACTGCTTTCTTTCAGTTAAGAGAAATGGTTTAGCAGATAATAGCCTTACAGACTATTGTATGGGGACAACTGTGATCAAATGTTTCTTTTTTTTATAGTTTCTTTGCTCCTCTTGCAGATCCGTGCTGGATCAAGAGTCTTGTACAGACCAATTTCAGCATCCGTGTTGTCTAGGCCAGAGATCAAGAATGGAGAGGTACCTTATAAACAAAATTCTGTATCTTCCTAAGTTACCTGGTGAGCCTAAACGTCCTCAACCTAGAGTTCACTTGTACTAGTTCAAATACCTATAGTGTAAAACTTGCCTTAAGTCAAACATCTAATAATATGTGTTGCTATCTTGCTGTTTCCCCTGAGAACTCGTTCATATTTAAAAGTTGATTGCTTTCAAGTGGAACAGGTAACATTCTGAAGTTTGTAATTCTTTGTTATAGTCTTATCACTATGAAGAGGAACTAGACATTGGATCTATTACAACCTTTAAAACTTCAGAATAATGCTATCAAAGTGGTCATGAAAAATACTCTGTCTGAATATAATGTTTTTTTATGTTCTTCTTCTTAGGGCAACTCAACACTTAATGGGGCCCAAAGTACTGTCTCCCGACTAGCACTTAGAGAATTCCAGACTAGTGCTATCAGCAGGGACATTGACACTGCTGCCAAATTTATTGGTGCTGGTGCTGCCACAGTAGGTGTGGCTGGTTCTGGTGCTGGTATTGGAACAGTCTTCGGTAGTCTAATCATTGGTTATGCCAGGTAATCAATCTTTCTCTTGTAAAACTCTTGAATTGCATGCAGATAGATCTTGAGACAGCACCTCCAGATAAGCTAAGTTATCGTAAGGATGATGGCACTGTCGTAAATTCTGTTAATAATTACTATTAGTGATAAACATGGCTGAATAGGATAATATGAAACTGTAGTATATTAATCAGGATGGCTGTATTGTTCATTTCTGAACTTTGTATGCTCTACCTGGAGAAAAGGCATGAAAGAAATGAGATAATTAGACTTGGTGAGTGTTTGGGTCACTGACGTCCCAATGTTTCAGCATTTGGTTCCAGAACTGAAGTAGCCTGAATCTTTGTAGGCTAAATCTAGCCTGAGTCCCAAAGAGTACCTGTGTGAACACTGAAAATAAGTAATGTGAGTTTGTATGCTTTAGACTTGATAGTCAGAATTGTTGTTTAGAAATGGATGCTTAATTTGGTTTTCTAATACAAATTCAGCCTTGCATCTCAGAATACATAATTACTTTATAGAATGACTAATTTTTCCTTCTAGAAGTCTTGAAGGGGGTGAGTGTGGGGATTTCATAGTAGCAATGGACTTCTTCCAGATAAGTTTACCATGTTCCTGTAGGAGGACCAGTTCATACGCTGTCGTGGAAGAGCAGAACTGGTATAGGTGTGAAAAAGCTTTATTGAAGGTTTCATATTCCTCATTAGCCTCTCAACTAGCTAAGAATTTCAAGCCCTGCTGAAGACAAGGAAGTTCACTTCCTTCTTGATGAAACATAAGTGTTTTCAATACAAAACTAATGTCTCATTTTTGAACTTGATCATGAAAATGTCAGTAAGGTTACAGGACATTACTTCATAATATTATGTTGAATGTTTTTCTCTCTCTGATGCACTTCTTGGAGAGAGAATTCATTGCATTTTTGCAACAAACTGCTAGGTATTTCTCTTCTTTGCTTTAGGGGGTTTCAGTTGCTGTATTTGTCTGAGAGCTATTTAATGTTAGACATGTAAACTTCCTTGGAGTATATTTCTAATGTCATAGATGTGAGGCAGGTTTATAAAGCTTCGTGATGATAGTTCCTGCATGGGAGGATACAGAGGAGTCAAATTTAAAAGTGTATATGAATATAGTCACAAAAACTGTGCATATTTGGAAAAGCCATATGCAGCCTGCGTAACCTGATCAAGTCTTAATTACCAACTCGTTTGTCTTCAGAGAAATCCTCCCTAAAAAACACTGCTTGGATTTCATGTTGTGGAATCTGTGGCAGGAAGTATGAAGTCCTGAATCTGTCCAATGTATATAGTGTATGAAAAGCGTCCTCATTGTAAAGATAAAAAGATTTTACACCTTCACTTTCTTTTAGAAATCCTTCTCTGAAGCAGCAGCTGTTCTCATACGCTATCCTGGGATTCGCCCTGTCTGAAGCTATGGGTCTCTTCTGTCTGATGGTTGCGTTCTTGATCCTGTTTGCCATGTGAAAGGAGATCTGCCTGTAATATTGGCATTTGAATGTAACTGCATTTTATGGGACTCCCAAAATGTTGGTGTCATGGAAATTGATACTATTTCCAAAGTCATTTCATTAAAGATAACAACTTCAACTGTCAACCTGTTGCCTGCATTTATTATCTTTCTCACTAGGTTATCTGGAAGATGGCATCTTGTCATTCAGTCACAATGGATTTCTCCTGATAATGACATACCACATAGAACCTTTCAAACAATTAATTCAAATACTTTATTTTTTAATTTGTGGGCATGTCACTTGTTCATTAATGTGGTGTATCTTTGAAAGATCAAAGGATACAGAGATTAAATGAGAAAGGATGTGCTGCTGACCATGTTCTTTTGCTTGTGTTTGAAACTTTTCCAGGACTGTTTCTGTGCACAACTTGCTTTTCCTCGGGTTGGGTGGCATATAAGGTGTTCTGGCACTTCTTGACAGGTGCTAAACACAAATTCACAGTGACAGAAAAGTCCCCTCTTCATCAGTTTTCAGTTACACTATACATTTTGATCACTGTGGTAACATTTTTCCACTCTTCTGACCATTGTCCTGGTTGATCTAAACTAATGCCTGCTTTAGAGTTGGTCCAAGGCATTTAATTTTGGCACATTGGATTATTCTTACTTAGTTACTGCATTATTGGCATCACCTAATAAAGGAGAGAACTTCAGCTTCCTAACTTCATGAAGTCAACCTTGTGTTATCTCTCAAGTTCTTTTAAGAGTAGTAGAAGCAAAGCATTTTTATTAACAAAATTATCTGCAGTATCAAGCTTTGCTTCTTGCATTATCTGTTTTAATCTAAGTGCATTTATGGTGTTGTCTACACTTAGAGCAACACCCTGTGTGTTACTATATACTAATTGGGAATGTGTGTGTGATAGCTTCTCAAACTTTATTCAGAGTATTAAATAATAGACCTGATCATTTGACAAATATAAGCTGAACTTTGGAAGAACATGAACAAGCCTTTAACAAGCTCTATTCTTACTGTTAAATGGGTAATTATGTAATTAAATCTCAGAAGCTTTTTAGTCAGCTGCCTATCCCTCAGGAAATGGAGAAATGACTAGTGGCTCTCAGATCAGTGCAAGGTGCAGGTGAGACCTTTGTTTTCATCTACCTTCAAATACCAAATTGGTATTCAGAGACGTGGTTTAGTGGTAGACTTGGTTTAACAGTTGGACTCAAAATGATCTTAAAATGCCTTTTCCAACCGTAATTATTCTGATTCGTGTAGCCTAACTTGGACCTAGCATGAGAAGTAACTTTCCCCATATGTTTTTAGGAGAAAATAGTAATCTCAAAAGGTTTAGGAAGCTACTGTGTAAATGTGTGAGGTTTAGGAGTGTAGAATGTGTGGCACCTCTAAATACTCAGCTGTAGCACAGTATTAGTAGTGCTTTTTACATGACTAGGTCTGAAGGTCAGTACTGTAGATATCTGCAGGCATCTGTGGTGGCAATCCATATTTACTATATCATGGACTAGCCTAACAGACCAGCCTAATTCAATCAATATTCAGATTTTCATATCACTGGGATTTGGCCAAACGAGGATCTTCAAACTTCTCTTGGTCAAGCCTAGCTCCAGCTCCATTAATTGTACTTATAAATTTGTTTGCATATAAAATGGTTCTGCTGAGTTGTGTGCGTTTGGTGTCCAAAGAAGATCTGGCTAAGCTGTTACTCCATAACCTCAATAATGAAGGGACTAGAGTCACCATGAGTTACTTGAACCAGGTTTGAATAATGATTTCTGGATTTACATCCCGTCTTTTCCCACGCCATTCACCCTGTCAACATGTACCCTTTCCCCTGTGATCAGCCTCCTCTGAAAGGTGGCAGACATCTCTGGTGACCCTGTGTGTGAATGTGAAGCCTGTCTGTTATAGCAGTAATTCTCCCCAAGCTTGTTACCCTTTAACTCACTCTTGAACATGGGCCAAACCCAAGCCAAATGGCCATTTGGTTATGCCAGTCTTGAAAGAATCAGATCTCAGTCTTGGAGATCAAGACTATTCAAGGACTTTGAAGACATGGCAACAAACCTTCATGCAGGAGATTAGCTTATTTATAGACAGTAAAGGCCTTAGAATCAGTGACTGGGCAGCAACAGATCAAATGCTCTTTTCTCCATAAGTGTTTATATCAAGAAATCTTTTTCATACTCGAGAGAAACCAGATACAAAGTTCCATGAGGTGATGCTGTAGGCTTCACTTTCCTGAAACCTTTTTCACAGTTCGTTCTGACATGGACCTTGCTGACCTTAAAGATTGTCAGTTTGTAAAAATTCATATTGCAGGTTCTCACAATCCAAAGTCTGTGTTAATGTTTCAGTGTTGAAGATGACGCCAGCTGAAGCAGATATCTTAATTGTCTCTGAATAACTGTTCTGCCTGCTGTCCCAGTAGATTAGATGTCATTCCATCTCTGAAAGAGAAGTGCACAACCGTGTTACCCTAAGGTACAATGAAGGAAATGTTTATGTTACCATTTATGCTCTTAAGTTACTGCTGCAGGTAAAATGATTTGTTTAATGATTTGTTTCTTCCTTCCTGCTGCCCTTTTTTTTTTTTTTTTTCTGCTCTTCCTGCTTTCTGTCACTTTGTTTTTTGCACTGATTTCAGACTAAAGGCAAGTAGTTATTTTGCAGTTCAGTTTTTTGGTCAGGTTCAGGACTGATGCTGCCATGCGATGGTAAAGCTATACCACTGAGAAGTACTTGTTTTCAATGCAGTTTAGCTGCTCTGGGAGGAAAGAAGCAAGATCTCTGTTTGCCTCTTTTTGTGAACAGTGTGCTTTTGTACAGTGTTCTTTATCCCACCTTAGCCCAAAGAACTTTTCAAAAGTGGTGTACAGTTTCCACCAATTTACAAGGAATTAAGCATACCATATCATCTTTTGCAAGTTCAGGGAAACTTGGACAAAATGTAATTTACTGGAACTAATACTACCTTGTTGTTGTTATTCATACTTTCATCCTGTTAGATCAGTCTCAGGCTCAGAACAAGACAGTTACAGGTGATACACAGGCAGAGAATTAAAACTTCATCCGTAACTTACAGCATAGTAGCTAAACTGTGTTGCCATATGGGATGCTACTTTTTCAAAACTTCATCCAAAATGCTTCTAGTGCCTTCTGTGTAAAGGGTAGGTGTTTCCCTTCATCGTACACTGTTGCAGTGCGTTTGATACACTGGTAATACATTGTATTAACGGCGACGGTATACCAGAAGAACGGCCCCAGGCTCACACCTAGCTCCTGCCGTGGGAGGTGTGCTAGGGGATGGGGAAACCCACAGAACGCACACGGCACACGGGTCTGGAGGACGGATTACTCCAAAAGTTAGACGTGACAAGCGCCTCAAGCGCCGTCACTGAGCAAAGCCTTGCAGCGCTTTAGTCTGTACCCGGTTTCTGCTGCCGGCCCTCCCGCAGAACCGGCCGCGCGGGACGGGCGCCCCATCCTCTGAGCTGCTCGGCCGGCGCGGCTGCACAAATCCT